GGTCCTCTAAGCAAAATTTTTTGTGTAAATACATCTTTGATCTTGGTGTCCATTTTGTTTGCATCCTGGAAACTAAAATATCTGGAGCCAAGCTGGAAGGGTTTGTGGATGCCAAACTCCCAGGCTGGAAATCTGCTACCAATTTTGATGTATATCCTGGTAGCCGTATGTTGATTCTCTGGAATCCTTCCTTTTTTGATTGTGAAGTCTTGAGTCTGGGAGATCAATACCTTCACTGTTCTGCTAGATGCCTCACTACCCAGAAGGATTTTTGCTTAACCTTTGTCTATGCATTATATACTGTCACCACTAGGAGAGACCTATGGAATAGGTTGTCTTCTTTTGCTGGGAATATGGCTAAGCCTTGGGCTTTACTTGGGGACTTTAATTGTGTCATGGCCTCCAATGAAAGAGTCAACTGCATGAGTCAAGGTGCTTATTATATGACTGATCTTCAAAATTTTATCTCCTCTAATTGTTTAGAGGATGCCCCATCCAAGGGGCAGTTTTTCACTTGGCATAAAGGGAAGAAGCTTGCAAAGCTTGACAGGGTGTTGATCAACCAAAACTGGGGAGAGTCAGGATGGGCCCCCTCTTGTGATTTCCTAGATTTTAACCATATATCTGATCATAGTCCTATGTTACTGCAGTGTGGTAGCCCCTCTTCTGGCAGGAGCAAAACCTTCAGATTCTTCAATATGTGGCTAAAACATGAGGACTTCTCTGGCTTGGTTTCTCAGTCTTGGGGTACTGGGGTTATTGGGTCAAAGCAGTTCTCCTTATGCTCTAAGCTTAAACGCCTCAAACAACCTCTGAAAACCCTAAACAAAACTGCTTTTGGACACATCTCTAGAAGAGCTTTGGAAGCAAAGGAGGATTATAGTTTGGCTATGAAGGAGATCCTGAATGCCCCAAATAATCAGAGTTTACTGGATGCTGCTGAGGTTAAGAGGAAAAAGGCTAATTTCCTTATGAATGCTGAATTGGAATTTTTTCAACAAAAGGCCAAGTGTGATTTTCTTATGAAATCTGACAGGTGCACTAGCTATTTCCACTCTCTGGTCAAGAAAAACAGAAAGAAAAACTCTGTCCCTTTCCTGATCAAAGAGGATGGTGCTAAAACTACCTCCAATGAGGAGGTGGTGGGATGTCTCTTGGATTTCTACACAAATCTGTTTGGTAGTTCTTCTCCTGTGGAACCTATTGATGGTGAAGTGTTGGCTGCTGGACCTACTGTCCCTACATCCTATCACTCTGTTTTGCTAGCTGAGATCACCCTTCAAGAGGTCAGGGATGTGGTTTTTGAGATTGGAAATGACAAGGCACCAGGGCCAGACGGGTACACTGCAGCCTTTTACAAGGATCAGTGCTCAGTGGTTGGCCAAGATGTCTATGATTCTGTTGTAGAGTTCTTTACCTCGAGGAAACTTTTGAAGCAAATTAATCATGCCATGATTGTCCTGATCCCTAAAACTGCCCACAACCCCTCTGTTAATGATTTTAGACCCATAGCTTGTCTTAATGTCCTTTACAAGATCATTACTAAGATTCTTGGAAAGCGTATGGCACCCCTACTACCTGATCTGATTGACCCTGCCCAAGGGGCCTTTGTACGAGGCAGATCACTTGTTGACAATGTTCTCCTTGCACAACACTTGATTAAGGATTATGCCATCAGGAGGTCCACACCTAGTTGTATGATAAAGCTTGACATCACCAAAGCTTATGACACTGTGTCCTGGAGTTTTCTGGAAGAGGTGATGATTGCTTTGGGTTTTCCTCCCAGATTGGTGGCTCTTGTTATGGAGTGTGTCTCGTCTGCTTCTTCATCCATTCTGGTCAATGGGGACTTACATGGTTTTTTTAAAAGCAAACGAGGGTTGAGACAGGGGGACCCCATGGCACCCACTCTTTTCCTCCTGTGTGTGGAGTACTTCTCCAGATTGCTTAACTCTAGAGCCAAGGAGGGAGGTTTCAATTATCACAAGGACTGTGCTGCTTTGGGGATAACACACTTGGCCTTTGCTGATGATCTTATGTTGTTCTCTCGTGGTGATCTTCCCTCTGTGCAAGTGCTTATGGACTGTTTGCAACATTTTACTAATGTCTCTGGGTTGGCCTTGAATCCTACTAAGTCCAATATCTTCATTTCTGGGAAAAACAGGGACACTAGTCAGGAGCTACTGGATTTGGTTTCTTTCCCTCGTGGTCAACTACCTGTGAGATACTTGGGTCTCCCTTTGGCTTCACAAAGGATCTCAGAGAATGACTTTGCACCCCTCTTCAAATCTGTGAATGGATTTCTGTCCAAATGGAAGACTATGAAGCTCTCTTATGCTGGGAAGGTGGAACTGATCAGGGCAGTTATCCAAGGGGTCCAATCCTTTTGGCTCCAAGCCTTCCCTGTCCAAAAATATGTACTTGATCGTATCACTTCTCTCTGCCGGGAGTTCCTTTGGGGTAGCAGATTTGCCAAAGTTGCCTGGACAGATATTTGCAAACCCAAAGCAGAAGGTGGTCTTGGCCTCAAAGATGCTGGTACTTGGAATAATGCCTTATTGTGTAAGCTTCTCTGGAATCTGGCAGCCAAGAAGGATTCACTTTGGGTTAGGTGGGTTCATGCTGTTTATGTTACACAGGGTGATTTTTGGCATTGGCAACCTAAAAAGAGACACTCTGTTTTCTTTAAAAGGTTGGCCTATGTGCGAGAGCTTTTGATTCAANGAGGTTACCCACCAAAACCAACTTGGAGTTTCTTGGCCAACCCATGGATTGTACCTTCTGTGGCCAGGCTTTGGAGAACGTAGATCATCTTTTCTTTGGCTGTTGTGTCACAGAGCAGGTTTGGGGAGCTGTAAAAAATTGGCTACGTATTCCGGGTCAGATAAGTACTTTGGACAGGGCTCTTCGATGGATGAAAACTTTCAGAAGGGGCGATGCTCTTTTGAAGAAAACCAGGAGGATTGCGTTGGCTTGCACGGTGTTTCAAATCTGGAAACATAGGAATGCTGTCCTTTTTGATCGTAAACCTCTTGATGTTGCGGCCATTATCTGTAAAATTAAATTGATGGTGTATTCTGTTGTGGGAAGGCTTTGGCCGCTGTACTCCCTTTCTTTTTGATGATGTTTGTTGGTGTGTGCGTTAGTGGCTGCTGTTTGGCTGTATTTGTTGACGTTTAGTCTTGTTGGCTAACGTTACTTTGTGGATTTGGTGTGTTACCAATTCCAAGCTCGGGTATGCCCGTTCTATTTGTATATTCCTATTCTTCTTCTATTTACATTTTTACCGTTAAGAGAGACAAAGGAGGGGTCAACTGCACGCAAAAATGGAATTAAATATGTAAACATGTTATAAATTTGTTGATCTATATACGTCGACACAATCAAAATTAGACCTTAAATAATATTTTGACATAATTATGACTAATTTTTTCAGCACTCTTTGACGTAAAAAATAGTCGACAAATTTGTCGACCTATCTGGCTCAACATGTGATCGACCAAAATGTCTCGACAAAATTCAGAATGTCGACATATGTATATCAAAACTTGTCAACATCCAACCGACATATAAAATTTATCGTCGAAAACATATAAATAAATATATGTCAACTTAATGATGATGTCATGTATTGTTAAGAGCGAGCAAATATGTCAACTAATTTTATAGCGTCGACTAAAATATTCGGACGACCACATTTAAGATCATAATTCACATTTAGACTTTATCACAATTCAAATTTAGTTGACTCTTTGTGGATGATTCGGATTATGTCGACATGTTTCAATCTCCACCATATGTTTAATTATACAATTCTAACTGTAACTATTAGATGAATGTGTACTTACGTGGAAAGAGCTCACCGACGAGCGACAACAAACGAAAGACAACAAAGAGAGTCAGATTAAAATGATTTACGATGCCGGAGACACCCACAAAAAGCGGTGAACGATGAGAGGCAACAGAGTAAGTTCGACGGGATCTAGGTATGCAAGCAACGTTTGATTAGAAAACGATGAAAATGGCACGCCACCGAAACAAGAATAACAAATATCTTCGCTACAGTTGATATGCTCCGCTACTGCAGCGGTCAGATAACGATAACCTAGCGATAACGAGTTGGGAAAAAGGATAAGAGAATAATTTCACTTTGAAAGAAAAGGTAGGCTAACAAATATGAAGTGTTTTAGGGTAGAATGATAAAAGAAATCCGTTTTTATGGCATTGTATGTATGCAAATCAAATTGTTATTTGACATTTAAACATTGACTTATTTAGCAAGTATGCAAATCAAATTGTTATTTGACATTTAAACATTGACTTATTTAGCAATATTCAATGTCATTGTCCATAAACATTACCATCGTTGACATTTTAACTTCATCTAAAGTGTATAATCACAGCGACAACATTGATTATTTTTTAAATGAGTAAAGTGCATTGTTTACCCTCATACTTTTTAGAAATTGCATGTTTTACACCTGAACTATAAAAATTGCACCGTTTACCCTCAAACTCCTTGAAAATTACACGATTTACCCCTGCATACTAAAAAATGCACCAAATACCCTTGAACAAATTAAACCATTGCGTCGTTGGTCCTAAACTATTAGATAGGAAGTGCGTTGCTTCTACGCACAACAATTGCGAATATGATCATCTGACCCTTGTGATTTTTCCAAAGTACCTTTCCCCAAAATTATCATCTTTATTTAAATGTTCAGGAGTAAACAGTACAATTTTCGTAGAGTTTAAGGATATTTGGTGTAATTTTTATTGTTCAAAGGTAAAGCGTGCATTTACTAAAGAATTCAGGGGTATTTGGTACACTTTTTAATGTTCGGGGGTAAATCGTGCAATTTTCAAAGAATTCGAGGGTAAACGGTGCACTTTTCTCTTTTTTAAATGAATCTGCACAAATTTTGTTAAATGAACGAATTTTGATATTATTTTGGGTAAAAACATTTTAGTTCTCATTTCGTTATTTTTTTATATTTTACTCTTACTTTAGTTTTTTCTTCCAAAAGCCATTCAAAAAACTATACACAAGGGACTAACTTGTATATAAACATAAACGGCGTATATTTTAAGTTGACCATGAAAAATAAAGTTTGATCTAAAATTGCTACTAGACAATAAACCTTCTTTCTGAAAATGCTATTTTTCCATGCTCAAATGCAAATCAAGGGGCTGTACTCCTCGGCTATGACTTTTGATCAGCTCAATAATAGTGAAGCGCGGGAACAGAAGCGGAGCTGGTTGCCTTTCCTGCTAAGTATAGAAATTTATCGCAATCCTTTGCACCAACCATAGTAAATGCTTTTACAAGTTTTCTGATAAAGCCTGCAACAGTTTTCTTGAACCCATCGGAGCAGCTTTTATCACCTTCGTCAACATCCTGCACCCCTCCACTAACTAGGCTACCTACTGGAGCACCATCTAAATATGTTTTACATGCCACCAGAATATCTTTAGCAGATTGAACGAAATATCCTACAACAAAATCTTCAAAATGCTGCAAAAAAACAAACACGAAAACGAAAAGAAAAAAAAGGTCAACACTATCACAATTAAGAAGTAAATGGTTCCCATTACCAAAAATTCCCCACTCCAACATTTGCTTTGTTTCTAGTTGTTGGTACGTAAATTTACCCTTTTACTAATAAAGGCCCATTCACGGTGGTTGCCCATTTTAATATTTTGGTTTTATCATGTTTAAAGATATATGATAGGATTTGTATTATAAAGTAAAACTGCTCGGATCCACCATCAAACATAAAAAGAAGCTCGTATCCAGTTTTTTTTTATTATATATTTTAGAAACCGGCAATAGAAAACTAAAAATTACTTGTTTTTTCCTTCCAAAATATGGGTTTTATTTTCATAAAAGTTGTCGCTAAAACCCACCATGAACGGGCCTTTCTCTCCAGATTATATTATGCGCATACAAAACACTAAGGACAGCGTATGATGCTCAATTCCAACTCTTAGCATGCAAAAAATTCATAACAAAATAGCACACGTGCACCAGTTTCATCACCACTTACATCCAAACTAAGTTGGAGTGAGTGAGTGCATCTAAATCATCAGGACTTGTAATAATTCATAATTGGATGGGATCACTCAAATGGACCATAATGCACATGCTTAACACATTAAAAGATTAAATCCAATCAATTAACTAGTCTAACCCAGCACTCAGGGCCGGTCCCAAGGATTCGATGATCTGGGCTGAGACGGAAAAAAACCCTAAAGTCTTTATCTCTAATGGCTTAACAAATTAAAGTGTGCGAAATAATTATATTTAAATGACAATTAACATACTAGTATCACAACAAAAGCAGTAAATGACAAAACCATAGTGAGGATTTATATCTACTTACCTCCCCAAACTAATATCTTAAAAATGAGACTGAATATCGACCTAGACGAGCTTGTAGGTCAAGGGTTAATCAGCCCACTCGAGGGTCAATGACCCGTTCAACTATAATTGAAAGAATAATATTTTATATTATATTATTTGATGTTTTTAATTAATAAGGAATTCCAAATTCTATTTTTTCACTCTTCCATCTAGTTTTCAATATAATTCTGCATATATCGTTACACATTCTATTTTTTATTTGTATTATTTCTTATTACTATTAAAGATAAATATTGAATATCTAATAAATACTAAAATTGTTAGGCAATACTCATATTTTTTAAAAAGTAGACGTTAGGTAATGTGTTCTTATATAATACTCCGTAATTCGTATGTAAGACATCACACTTATACTTTATTGTTTGAAACAAGAAAAAGTAGAAGAAAAGATTAATTTTGACATATTAAAGTATAATTAATAAATATTTCTAAATTTGTATTGATGACAATAATTTTTTAGGTATTTCTTTTTTGAAAAATAATTTTTAGGGTATAAGTGTTCAAATTTATTTTTAGATAAAACACAAACAAATTTAATTATTTTTTTGAACATTTTAATAAGCTCATAAAACAAGTATATTTGATACTACTAATATATATTTTTCTAAATAACTAGAAGTTTTAATGAAATCAACACAATAGATATATACCTTGTTGCGTGACTTTTATAACGAGGAGTTTAGTAGCTTAAGTGGATGAAGCATCTCTACACATCCTAAAATGCTCAGGTTCGACACCCACTTTACACCTTAGAATATTGATATCTTAATTTTTAATATATATACAACAGTTTAAAAAAATTATGCCCTTCAAAATATTGGGCCCAGAGTCCGGTAGGCCTGCTCGGCCCACCCTCGGGCCGGCCTGTCAGCACTTTATATATTCATGCATCTTTCATTTATTTTTAAATATGAGATTCTTGACAAATCCAAACTACATTAATTAAATTAAGGTGTTGCTAAACCCACCCCAAAAGTGGCTATATCCACACCTTTCACTTAATTTTGCTAAATCCATACCAATATCAAATTTATAATAATGATTGTGGATTTAGCAAAATTAGGCAAAAAGTGTGGATATAGCCATTTATAGAGTGGATTTATTGCAGAACAAGTGGTAAAGGTTTACAATTTACATCGGATGCACACCCAAAAGTAAATATAACAATGGGAATTAATTTAAGATGGAAATAAATAGTGTACCTTTGGCGGATTCTGCATGGAGTAAATCATTGTTCTCAGATTTAAGATAAATGTGTTCTCGTTGTATTGTAGTGACTTCTTCTCACCAGAAGGAGTCCCTTTAGAGGAAGCATATCCTGGCTCATTAAAATAGGGCTTGGCATTCAAAATCAGCCCTTGTATAGAAACCAAAACTTGCAAAATTGTTGATTCAAGTGGGATCCACTTTTCCTTCCCAGAACCACTCCAAGTGTTCAGGAGGCTCAGGCATACTTTTCCACATTCGTACAAATTTGGATTGATACGAAGACCACCAGAATGGTAGTATACTTTCTGGGAGTTTTATTTGAAATTGTTAGTCAAAAGTTAAAGTATAAGAGAGCCATAGAATCTACCATGTGTGGCATACCGGTGGAACGTTAGGATAGTTAAAAGGAAAGTAAACATCAAAGAAGAAGAGTCCATCATGATAGGGAGTTCCAGCAGCTCCAGTTATAACTGCTCTCAAAAGATCCATTTTTGATTCATAGACTCTAACAAATATCTTATCTGCCAAACAAAACACAATTCATGCAGAGTGAAAAAAGGGCAGCTGCAGAGAACATAATAAAAATGTCACGGTAATGAACATTGAAGGAGCTTAGGAACTCAACCAAATCAAACAACCAACATATTGGACCCAATCCAAAACAAAAAAATATTTCTAAATTTTAGAACAGTCAAATTTTATGAAGGCGAGCCGTGGCACAACGGCAAGGCAGCTCTTTTGTGGTCGGTTGGTCACTAGTTGCTAGAACAACCCTCTCCCATAACCAAGTGAAGCATGGCAAAAGGAACCATTTTCATATGAGAATTGAGATATGACCTTTCAAACCTTATGACATACATGCAGAAGACACAAGCCATGGATTGGGGCTGCAACTTTGACCCATGAAACTCAATGCAAGGCACACCAAAAATACTTGATGCCCAAGTTTACTCTTTATTTTATTCATTAGGAATTTATTTACTATTCCAATTTTTCCTTATCTCTTAAGACAGCTTTTATGTCCTGTTAGGAGTCTTTTCAGGTAAAGAGATTGTTTCCTAGTTAAATTACTTGCCTGCTATTGTAAGACAAGCATAATTTGTAAGCAAATTGCGGGATCACAACTCTCCATTAAGGAGTTTCCAGGTTTGGCTCACCATGAAATGAGGCCATTGTGCAAAGAAGCAAGAGGCATAGTGAATGAAGTCCCATCGAAATGCAATCCACTACACGGCACACTATAATCTGGGGCAACAATGGAATGACACTCGGCCTTCACAAAGTTATTTAAGGGGCGATGTGCAAAGGGGCTCTAGCGCCTCAATGCACGATGAGTTATTGATGGGCGTGCATCACAAACACAATGCGTACATTGAGGCATAAGTAGCATAGCATCTCTAACATAGTTATTAATGGCGAGTTGCGAGGGGCGGGCGAGAGGCCCTTTCTTATGGCGAGAGACGGGCGGTCAAATGGCAAACATACATACATCAATATATATATATATAAGAAAAGATATTTATAAATAGTGGCGAATGTAGGGAACAACGGAGGGAGTAGTACATATAAAATGTTGATGTTAGAGTGTCATCCCACATCGGAAGTTCAGGAGCAAAATAATCGATATATAAGCTCTTGAGTTGAACTAACTAATCGATTGGATTCAATCATTTAATGTGGTTCAGCTCAAATGTCTTATTCCCCAATCCAGTGATCCCTATCACATTCTAAATTTTATCATGATATCAGAGAAGTTCTGGCCCACCTCGTTTGTCAAGATGTCCGTCTAGAGTTCATTCCTAGCGGCCTGTTTGTCTTTAGCCCAATTGTCCGTATGGAGTATGTACCTAACGGCCTATGGTCGGTTCAACATGATTGCTTGTCTGGAAGTCCATATCCAGCGGCTCGTGGTCCTTTAAGTGTTGGCGCTCAAAAGAAATCAAGGGAATGAGAGTTTATTTACATGTGGTCAACTGGTTAGATTCAAAATGGCCCGATTGTCCACTTGAGGGAGAGTGTTAGAGTGTCATCCCACATCGGAAGTTCAGGAGGAAAATAATCGGTATATAAGCTCTTGAGTTGAACAAACTAATCAATTGGATTCAATCTTTTAATGTGGTTCAGCCCAAGTGTCTTATTGCCCAATCTAGTTGTCCATGCCCCATCCTAAATTCTATCAGTTGAAAAGCGTAAGAAAATTTTAGAAAGCAACCAGGAATCAAAGTATAAACTTTATGGTTTTTGTTACAAATTAGGCAAATGGTGTCATTCCTATTTGTTTCTGTGGCCCTTCGAACATACTTCCGTCTGGGATCATTAGAATCTGGTCCTTCTAGCTCTTCCAACCCAGAATTTGGAGATTCTTACATACTTGAAAGAGCATAAAATATAAATGCGAGAAGTATAGACTTTATATAAGCGACATTTGTTGCCATAAGAACAAATAAAATTATACAGTACAAAAAAATGCACTGTTGCTGCCACAAAAGATAAAAATTCTACAAAAAATACACTCTTGAATACTTATTTGCTGGAGTTGCTGCAAGTCTGCCACTCCATTATGTAGAAGAAGAAAAATGTTTGGAAAAAAAAAGATAAAACAAATAAATAACTCCAAAAAGAAAAAACCCTGATGAAAGCCCGCTGCCAAGCCTGTGAGAGCCGATGCAGAGAGAGGAAGAGAAGAGCTGCAGCGAGATGCGTGGGAGTCTAAGGGAGAGACGATGCAGAGGAAGGGCTTGCAATTAGAGAGGCAAGAGAGTAGGTAAAGTGAAGCTCACCCCTAATTCGCTAATACGGAATATTTAACATTAAAAAAACTACTTCATGATGCACGCGCATAAGGAACATTGCCCCTCATCATTGACTCTGATTCCCTAACCCACATCGCGCCTCAGGCGCACTTTTCACCACTAAGGGCCTTCAGGATTTTAGAATTAGAAATGGGTCCTGAGAAAATTTCAATTCAATTGGAATCTGTGAGCCTGACCCTGGAAAAGGCAATCGTCCGGAAGCAGACCAAGGACAGCACCACTGCTCACCGAACATAGGTAAGAGTTATGCTATTTTTGTTAAAATGTTAAGTTATCCATAAGCCGCCGATTAAGTTTCCAAATGGCTGGAAAAGTATGACTGAAGCTAGCAACTAGGCTATTTAAACGGTGTTGTCCAATCATCTATTGGGCGAGGGGGGAGGGCTAGCTAGTCACCGAACACGATGAGCAGTAGGGGAGGGTCTCCGAAATCTTTGTGTAAATCAATAACCCTTCAGTTGACCCAAACCCATTGCTTTTCATTTAAGACTTCAAACAAAAATAAGGTAAGCAAAGTGCATCAGCCAATACTCAGACCTAGAAACCATTACCTCTTCCCACCAAAGGTCTCCTTCATGGTCACCAATTTGCAGTTTCGTCGTCATGTCCTGATGGCTAGTTTCTCTCTTTACTTTAACCATTACACAACCCTTCATTTGAGTTTCCAATTCGTCATTCTTAAAGCACTTAATTTTAATTTTTTATTAATTTAGTTACTACATATTTATTTACAAAGTATCTATTTTTGTGTTATGCGTACATGTATTCGTCTAATTTTGAAAGGCTCACGGGAGCAAAAATTAGACTAGAAGTTTGGCTCTTAACAGTCTACATTGTGAAATTTGAAAAAACTCATTTTTTTTATTTTTCAGCTACTCAATTTATTGTTTTCCCGTCCATTTGTGTTTATATTAATTTCAAAATAACAAAATTTATGGCAGTTAACAATATTCAAGAGAACTATGATCAAACTAAGGATCCTGAACGGAAGGCTAACTCCAAAGAATCCAGACGAAATATGGGTTTTGGCTGGATTTGAAGAGGAAAGACAATGGAATGTTCACTTTGCTAGAAATATATGCATGCCAACATAAGAAAGATGAAACAACAGCTTGGTGGCAAATTTGGGGTGTGGCTAAGTGCTCAAATACAACCATAACGATAATGAGGGAAATGCAACATTACGTGCAGAAATGTAGAAAAATTTGTGAGATTGAGGGCCTGTTCTTTTGGGCTGGAAAAGTTAACTTCTAACTTTTTCCAACTTCTTCCAGTTTCTTTCAACTCCTTTTAGTTTTTTCCAAGTCTTTCCAGTTTTCTTCCAACAACTTAAAAAATTAATTACATATGATGAATATACAATAACATCATATATCCAAATCCGTAACACACCACTTCAAACACATACAAAGACGAATTCTTTCTCATCCAAAATTAGTTTTCTTATATATTTATTTGGGTGATCATTTAATTGATTGATTTCTTAACACTTTATTTTTTCCAACAATTGAGCACGCAAGTGACATCATCAACAACCTCTAATCTTTTTTATAGTCATAGTCGTCACGGGCAACTACCTCTCTAGTGGCGATGAGGCATCCATCCATCACTTGAAGAAGACTGGGCAAGGCAAAGTTCGAGAGGAGACATCAAATGTGCACCTTCCTCGCCTGAATGCGAGGGTGAGGCGGTCGCATTTTCCGCACTAGAGGTAGAACAAAAGTATTTTAATAAACTGGACCTCGTCTTACCTAATTCAAAACACGAGCTGCGGATCGGAACAAGCATCATCTTTGCACCAACAGTGTTACAAAACTAAGTTCAGATACAAATGTAAAAGGAAAGATAGCTACTTTTCAATCTGCACGACCACTATCACGATTTGTTGTTTATATGCTTGAAAGGACTCATTAAGAAGTGAACAATTAAAGGTAAAACAAAAATGCAACTCAAAGAATACTATTGAACGATGTATAAAGAGCAAAGAGAAGAAAGAGAAGGTTTATAGTGAATCGTCGATTTCTTCTACGAGAATGGTATATCATTTAGTGCCACCAACTTCAAAAGTGATGATGGTATGATTAACTAAACTGGTCAAGATGGAGCCGAGTGGAAATCTCCGTCTCACTGTGAGTTACAAATGCCTACTTCATAAAGCAAAAAGAGGAGACGGATAACTTGAGAAATGACCATGATAAGTGTTATGACGAATGTAAGAGAGATAACAAACATTAAAGAAACGATATGACAAGAAATACACAAGGATTTAACGTGGTTCACTAACAATATGCTGGCTATGTCCACTTAACAGAAGAGTGGAGAGGTTTTACTCATTGAGAGAGATTACAGAGGGGTTTAACTTCTTGCTACCATAAAATGAATGCCTTACAAATGAACCTATTAGATGCCTTAATCAAGTGGGAAGTGAGCTGTTGACAGCCCAAAACAATACTGCCATTCAGTTGCCTACCTCACCAACTAGCCACCTACTTGCCCATTTGTCAAAGCCACCTTCCACACATAGTTTGTAAGGCGTCGCCTAGGCGATATGAAGGTGCATTGGCGCCTCGCCTCGCCTTGCCGCCTTACAAACTATGCTTCCACATACTTTGCGGCTACTTTCCAACTATGTACAGCCATTGTTGACTAGTCAAAATAGGCAGGAATTCAAGGCATTCTAACAAATCTCCGCCTTGACTTGAATTCTC